GGCGTATAGTCACTTCCTCGTCTACTCCCTGCAGAGTCATGGCTCGGCGCCCTGACACACCGCACCGTTCGTCGGGGGAGGATGGGAGTGACCATTCGCTGAAACGAAGCCAGAGCCTGGCCCTATCAGGATCAGCGAAACATGCTATCCCTGGCGTGGTCTGCCATGTCAGCAGGGTAGGCTCAAGGGAAAAGGAAGACCCGGCACCTTCGAAGGACCTTCTCTATCTTTGGTTTTTTTCTCTTTCTCCCATCTGTAATCCTTGCTCCCCTTGGTTTATAAAAGGGAGGGCAAGGCGCCCCACTAAAGGGGGATCGATTCCACACACAACACACAGCCAAGCGACAATCGAGCTCTTGGCATCCTTTCGATCTTTCCATCAGAGACTTGGGACCTGTCGCTCTCTCGACCGTTTGTACTCCTACTACGAACCTTTTTCGGTACTAATAACACGAGCAGCAGTAAACTGGACGTAATGATATTTTGTCCGAATCAGTATAAACCTTATGTCCTTTAGTACACCATCCAAGCCTAGCACGTCATAAATATAAATTTACTAGATTTTATTGGAAACACCGACGGGACCATTCAATGCCAAAAACGGTGGCACCACACACACCATGCATGCATGTATGATATGATACTAGTATAGTAGAATTACTAATTTACAAAACAGTGTGTCGTCATTTTTTGGATGACGTATATGCATGCAGAGATTAGGCCTAGATTTCCCAAACGTGCAGGCCGCAGGAATACAAAACTATGAAAAATGGCTGTTTGCTGTTGCTTGCGTTATCGCAGCCCAAGCTTGAGTTGTCTACGCACGATTGTAGAGACAGTACAGACCTTAGGATCTGAATAGGACAAGGGAGCACGTAAGGTCTACTTGGATAAGCTAGTGCTAGCTGCTACTTGGGCTAAAAATTTAGATTAAATCGGTTAAGACTAGCTTTAGTTGAAAACTTAGCTCAAAATTTAGCCACCTGTTAACTCTTCTATTTATGTAATTTTTAATTAACTGGCTAGCAATTAGCTCTCGTATCATGACCTGAGAGGCGGCATCATGCATGGCACCGACTGCGTACACAGTGGAGCGTACACGTAGAGTTCTAGGGCTGTTTGATCCGGTGACTAAAATTTAGGAGGTGTCGTAAGGATGTCGTATGGGGTATTCGAATACTAATAAAAAATAAATTATAGAATCTGTTAGTACTCCACGAGATGAATTTATTAAGCCTATTTAATTCGTTATTAGCACATATTTATTGTAGCACTACATTGCCAAATTATGGACTAATTAGGCTTAAAAGATTCGTCTCGCAAATTAGTCGCAAGCTGTGCAATTAGTTTTATAATTAGCCTATATTTAATACTCCATGCATGTGTCAAACATTCGATAGTACAACTACTAAAGTTTAAGAGGAGAAACAAACACCCCCTTACACACCATACTTATATATTATATATATTTACATATACATATACTAGCAACAGAGTTGTCTCAGGGTATCGATGCTCCCTAGTCGTCCCGCGCACGCCTGCATCTGCATGCCATGCCACACCTGCTAGCTCGTCCTCCATAGCCAATGCTGCTCGTTGGAAGTGGAACTGCGAAAGACTACCCGCCGTGCCAAATACTCCTACTCCTAGCTAGCAGCATCGGTTTCCTGAATCGTGGCATGACGCGCGCCATCGCGCGTACCGATAAATTACCTGGTTAGGGTGTTGAGAAAAAATATATTTAATCTTTACATAGAAACAATATTAAGAGTTTAATTTAGATATGTAAACAAAAGATCGGAGCACAATAATTAGCATACCTTTAGCCTCATCATACACCTACAAGCATAATTGTACGTATCATAAATAGGAAATCATCAATAGGATAATAGCCATGTCCTGTTCTAAGTGATCAGGCGTGCTGATTTCAATAGAGAGATATGTAAAAATAATTTAGAAATCAGCGTATCCACCTTGCAAGCTACTCTCTCTATTGCAAATTGTAAGACGTTTTGGCTTTTTAGATACATAGATAATAGATACATGATAAAAAGTAATTTATGTAGAAAGGACAAAATATCTGCATGTTTGTAACTCAAATATTAGTTAAGCTAAAGCGAAATAATTAACATGACGCTGACCACATCACAAGCAGCCCAGGTTGCATTGCAGTGCTTTATAACATGAACAACTTTTCCTTTAGTGATAAAGGGCTTGTTCGCTTGTCTTAAATTTGGCTTGTTTGGCTTGTTTTTTCAAATTTAATGTTGTTTTTCTCTCACAACAATTCAAATAGAACAGTGTTTTTCACCATGGGCCAAATAAAATTCGACCAAATGAATCGGGGCAAAAAATTGACCTTGTAAAAAAAGAGTGTTAAAGAACTCCATAAATAAGCTGTGAATTTTGACAGGGCATTCTTCCAATTTGGGGTAGCCTTCATAACTTCTGCATGTACAGATGCATTTTTCGGAGCCTGCTGAGCCACCTAAGCGGTGGATGAGGAGCAGATGACACACACATAGATAAATAAATAGATAAATGTGTGTGCGGTTTTAGTTCCCCTCTCACAGAGAGAATGACTCAAATATTTTAGAACAGAGGGGGTAATATGTCTGCCAACGAGCTGAGCTCAAGCCAGCTTGTCTACCACGGATCACATGATCCACCACAGCGGTCAAGCAGGGTTGGAGGGGAAGTGCATTAAGATCTCCGTTCTTTGTGCAAACAATGGTAATCATCAGTCCGGTGGATTAGAATAGCCTGCATGAAAAATAAATCAATCATCTAGATGTATTCAAAACCAAAATCTAACAGGATTGAACTTGAATCCCCCAAAACCGAAGAGGAAAAGGGACAGAGGTGGCAAGAGGACGAGGGGAGGGAGAGGAATGGAACCTCACCAGTAAGTATCGAGAGTGGAGGAGCGGAAAAGATAAGCGAAAGAGGACGAACAGGGAGAACAGCGGCAGTGGGTACCGGAGATGGCGTGGAAGCGGTAACCCTAGCGCGCTCAGCAGCGTGTCGCCGGCCTCCACGCACCGAGGCGGACGGACGGAGGGGCCTGTAAGGCGATGGATCCGGCCAACCAGCGGCGTGATCCGGCCACCAATGACGGGATCCGGCCAAGGACGGGGATTCACCAGAGCGATATCCATCCGCTGCTACGCGACGGGCCACAGGCCGGGAGTGGGTGCTCGCCACGCACCAAGCTTAACGGCCGGTCTCCGCCACAGGTGCGCCCACTTCGACCGCACCAAAGCACCATCGACAACCACTGGTCCCGCTTATGCCAAAGTGCGGCGCCGCGTCGAGGGCGCCCTCGGCTCGCACTAAAGGTAAAACGAAAAGGCGCGAGCGTGGAAACTACCACGGACGGGAAAGAGGACCAGCAGGGAAGAACAAGGACGGGCCCTGGAACCTTCCGGAGAGGACGCAACACACAGCCTGCAGCAACCGCCAGCCCGGTCGCGCAGACGACGGAGCAGCCTTGAGCCCCCAAGGACGTAGTGGACGGGCCCCTTTGAGAGAGCGGAGTCGCCGAGGCCGAGATTGGCGGGGGCTCCTTCCCGTGCGAGGCCGCGGAGGAGCGTAGACGGTGAATGGAGGCCGGCGCACGCGGAGGCGGACGGCAGAGCGGCAGGGCCACGAAAGCGACGGAGTTAGGGTTTGGATGGCTACAACAATGGGTCCATACGGCAGCAAGCAGCCCCCCCCCGGCGTGGCGGTGGCCCGTCTTGAGCCGGATCCGCCTTGCGGAGACGCCCAGCCAGCAAAGCCAGTGGTGGTGGCAATGGTCGCGCCGTCGTAGCGACTAGGACGGAGAGGGAGAGCGGGAGGGAGCGGACGAGAGCGAGAGGGAGCGACGAAGAGAGAGTAAGAAAGAGGGAGAAGCCAGGAAGGGGGATCGGAAGCCGTTATATATATTCGGTGGGCTGGCTCCGAAGTGAAAGCCGGACAACAGCAAAGGGAAGCACGGAAAAGAGAAGAAACAGGCCCATAATCCGCTCCCGACAAAATCCGTTTCAAGCAACGGTGGCCATTCGATGGAAGATTCGACGGACGAGGAAATCGTGGGCAACGTGGCCACCTGAGAGGCGGCTAAACTAACCAGCTTTGATATATAGAAATTCTCCCACGTGCTGCTGCAACGAACCTGGAGGCTGTAGCAAGTAACAGCGCATCTAGTACTGGCTTCGTGCGTGCATTCGTGTCGTGGGCTCGACCGCTCGAGGCAGGGCAGCGCATGCATTTGACAAATCACAAATGACAGCGGTGGCAGTTTATTGGCTCTGTTCGCTTAAACTTATAAATCAGAATCAGCTTATTTTTTCAGTTATAAAACAATATTTTTCTCTTACGATAAATTAATTCTATATTACGATAAATTAATTCTATAAATTAGTCGCAGCAGCGATAAATCCTGCCCGAATATAGCCATTAGCGATATCGAGGGCCTGCCTGCAGTTGACGGATCGGGGCGAGATGCCGGCCGGCTGGCCGGTGCATCGGTCGGTGCGTTCGTAAAGCTCAAGCATCAACCTGCACGTGCTCTGCTTGCCTCTCGGAATCTGAACCTGAACCTGATTGCACGCTGCATGAGCCAGCCAAGGCCTGATTTAGATAGTAAGTTTTTTCGGTCTCTCTATATTACATTAAATTTTTGGACACATGTATAGAGTATTAAATATAGATAAAAAAATAACTAATTACACAGTTTGATTGTAAATTACGAGACGAATCTTTTGAGTATAGTTAGGCCATGATTGGACAATAATTGTCAAATACAAACGAAAGTGCTACAGTGCCAAATACTAATTACATAGTTTGGTTGGAAATTGCGAGACGAACGTTTTAAACCTAATTAGTCCATAAATAAACACTAATTACTAAATAAAAACAAAAGTGTTAAAGTAGCCTAAATTCTCAAATTCAAGGAACTAAACACGCGCTAAAAGTGGCCTAATAATCATTTTTGCCTCGCTGCAACCTTCCTTCGTTCATAATCGCCTCCCTCTGCCTTCTCCCCAGAAAACAAGGCAGCCGCAAACGAGCGACCCGCTCAGAGCTTGTTGCTTCCTTCCGCATTCAATTCCCCACACCCACCCCCGTCCTCTCGCACCCGCTGCCTGCCTCTCGTCCTCCATGGTCCGACATCGCTTTGCCTCCTCTCTTCCTCCCTGTGTGCATCCGGCGGTGGGGCTGGCCCTGCGCCCCCTCGCATTGCGGCGCTGTTTGCTCTGGGTTAGGTTTTGGGGTTTCCTCCCCTTCAGCCGTCCCGGTGTCCGCTGCCCTTCCAGTTTTCTCCGGTCCATTGAGCTTCTTGGTAAGTCTCTGCTCCATGTATTTTCCCCTATCTCCGCGTGGGATTCTTTTGTTCTGCTTTGTTGTGATTTGGTATTGGTGCCCTTGTACCTAGGTCGGGTTTCAGTTCCGGAGGTCCGCGACGCCATCGATTTGTGTCTGTTGGGGTCGATTCCCATCTAGGTGTTTCTGGGTATGTCTCTGCTCCGCATATTGTTCTCTGTCTCCACGTCGCATTCTGCTATCCTGGTTTCCTGTGATTTCATACTGGTGACTTCGTTTCCTGCCGCGCCGCTGACCTCGCAGCCCCACCGGTCGCCACCCCCGCTTGGCACCCAGTCAACCAACAGGACAACCACCAGCCCAGCCGAAGCAACGACAGGTGAGATTCAGCAACTCTTGAGACCCCTGCTCCCTCTTATTATTGGCTACTTTGTTCAGACCCAAATCAAAGTTCTCAACCTTAGTGCTTTGACTTTCAGAGTTCACCGCTGTGACCACAGAGTAGCATATCGAAGTCTTTCGGCCGTAAAAAAATCATCGTCGACCACACTGCTTACACCGAAACACTGCTTCACGACATTCTAAAAGTCAGGTAATGATTCAACGCAGCCTTCAGAATCACACAGTATATTAGCCCATGTGTTCTTCTTTACATCTGATTCAAATTCAAATACGACTGCTCCAAGTTACCTCAGCGTGAAAATAATTAATAATGCTTACTATAGGCATGTGGCATAATAATTTAGGACGGCCAAAGTTTTTACTTAAACACCGCTCCTATTTTGCAGCTACTAATCGGCTAATAGTATGGACAGAATTGCTTTTGCACAAATAAAAGTACTGAGCGTTTAGATCCTATTGCCATGAATGATTCCTTTCCCGAATCCGTAATAGCAACTAATTCCTGAATGTTAGTGTGATCATATTTATGCATCGCCGTACTTGCAACAAATACTAATCCTTATATGCAAATGGAAAAAAAATACAGGACACACTCAAGGAGATGGCCAACTACCGCTACCCAAATCTGACAATAATCAACGAATCAGACCTCCACGACGCCAACCCAAATTTCTTCAGCAATACAGTAATAGCAAAAGTTCCATTGCCAGCCACAGATCCAGCAGCAATTCCAGGTGGACATCGACGTACAAGATATATCAAAGTATGGTGTTGACTACTTCATACGAGCACACTCATCGGATGCAAGTGCCCGCATGCTTGCCAGAGGCTTCGCTAATGTTTCCACCTACACACTGACACTCATGCCATGGACCCCAGACTACGGTTCCACAACGGTGCCTCTGCACACTCAGGTCAGCTCCGATCCCATCAACGATCATAAACTTACCGGATCAACTGTCCTGTCTCCCAGTGAACGCCTCAGCATTGAGATCTCTGGACTGCCCCCACATCTATGCTGTGAACTAGCAATACACCATCTCTTGAAGGGAATTTGCACCATCTGAAACATAACATTTACTGCCGCAACATTAACATACTGGGTCTCCGCCTATGGACAAGATCTGCTTGTCCCCAGCATAGCACACATAGGTGTCAAGAAAACAACTCAGCATGGTGATCTCCTAAACATTTGGCCGCTATGGTACGAAACATACACAGAATAAATGCTTGGGAGAATGTCCCCGCCAGAAGAAAGAGCATCTCAACGCTGAGGTAAACATTTTTAAAGTTACAGCACTGCTAGGAAGAGGAAAAAAATTACTTCTAACAATTGTTCTCCAAATATTAACAGGATCATCAGATCTTGCTACCGCGCACCGAGAGGAAGTCCGCGAGCAATACTACGCCTACACAGGTAAGGAAACGCTATTTCAAACCAACAAAAGGGCGAACAACAGCATAATACATACTAACATAGTTCTTTTGGTCATTAGGTTACGACGACGAGGCAACCTCCCGGCCACGAGGTACGTCATCTATACAGTTCATTTAGGTGATGACCATAATGTAAACAAGTACGAACCCAGTAAAACCTTAAAATTGACACTAACCCATCATAAACATATACTTTTTCCTATTGATTTTCCCTTTTTTTCTCACCGGATTCCCCTGGTTTTTATCATTACGATGTCAATGGTTCGTTGCATGTTCTAGGTTAGTGCCCTATGAGCGCCTGTTCCCATGATTATGAGGATTGATATACTCAATCCTACTATACTGTTAGCAGTTTCTGATATGAGAAATTGTTTAGCAAAGCGAAAACAAAAAAAAAACATAGATAGTGGATCATTGTTTACTTTTATGGCCTCTTACTCCAGAGTAATGAATATGTTTTCAACCAACAAACAAAAAAATGTTAGTTGCTTGCTCTACGCCATCTTTTGCGGACTCAGCGGTTGATTTGGATAGATCACTGTTATGCAAAACTATGATACAATTGCCTTTCCTAGGCTATATTCCTTCCTATTGTACAAACTATTCCTTACTAAACTCTTGCTAAACTAATCCCTACGATTATGTCTTCCTACGGTAGATTTTTAGGCTACTCTCTGTATTTTCATATAATGACATGCTCATGTTTCCTACTATATTAATTGCCCTAAAGTTTGGTGCTCTACCTGTATTAGACCAATCAGATTTCACCTCAACAAGTGATACTTTGTAGTAACAGCCGTTCTTTCTATAAGCCTAAAGCATTAAAAAATATGTTTATTCAATGTTCTATCTGGTTTCCTAAGAGTTTGAATTCTTAAGTACCTGATTTAGACACAGATATATCGTACACAGCCACATTTCTGGTTTATATCACTGTTTTTGTGCTTCAGGTTATACACTTTCGAAAAAAAACAGGAGCAACCTCCTTGTTCTAATAAGACTGAAGTCACTGTACTATCTTTAAAGTCTCTATAATATCCAAATTATCTGCTACATTCCCACTTTACAAAATTGGGGATCTCCATTTTTTTTAGCCATCTACCTTGGTACAATGTCCAAAGTTAGATTTGTACTGCTACCAGTAAGACACTTCAAAGGGGGATGATTAGCCTGCATTCCGCATTTGGGTTGCTGGCCAACTATTCTTTTAAATAATTATGCTCCAGAATCATGTTAAACAGGTTGTTGTACAAGCCTGGGAACCTACTGCCTCACCAAGGTTAACAGATTCATATCTGAATCTGCAGTTTTGACACTGATTGCTTAATTTCACATATACACGGTGCTAGCAATATATGCAGATATTCCTTCTTCCTGTTTCCTTGCATTCCTACAAATGAAGCATCCTTAAACCCAATGTCACAAAACATGTTTTTCTCTGCCCAGATACTAGCACAGATTCGTCGGTGGACATCTCGGACAAAGATGAACATGGCTGGGAGTCCGATTGCAGCTTGAAGTTCTAGTGATGATTCCTGCATCAGCCTGTTCGCTCGATCGTTTCTGTGGCTTATAAGTCGGCTGATGTTGTTTAGTTGTGAGAGAAAAACACTGTATTATGGCTGATACGATCAAGCGAACAGGGCTGTCCAGGTTCAACGGAAGCCACGACCCCCTTGCTACTAACCTTGTATAATATTTCTACCAGCACTTTGCGACGCTTTTGTATAGCTCCTGGAAGCTCTACTGATCGTTGACGCAATAACGTCCAAATCTAGCAGAGCCCTGTCCACTTCCTACCAATATTGTATAGTCTTACCACCCAACGCTCCACGATGCTTTTGTATAGCCACGGAACTTTGCCGTGCAGCAAACTTGGCAACCATCACTGCACCAACTATTGTACATGACGCGGTGTTCATGCAATGCCAGCTTTTGTTACCATGTATGTGTTTGACCTTAATATCAGTTATGCCTGGACTCTAAATTAGATGCAATATTCTGTATATGTACCTATGCTTGCTACATTTTACTTGCAACTGTGAAAACTATAACGTCTTGCTTCATTACAGCTCTCATATATTACAGATCGTCATGATGATGCTACATGATATTGTGCCCACCATTAAATAGATTAGAATCCTTTGCTCTCGCGCGCGAGGGCGCGCGCCCTCTACTAGTTATATATATATTTGCAAACGCAACAAGGCAAAATACGCTAGCTGCTCCACCTGCATCTTCGCATACTAGCTTGTGATGCACTGCAGGCATGTATAAACAACAAAAGTAAAAAACCTTGCTTTCTGCATTGCCTGCATGCAGGTCGTTCTCAGAATAAAAGTTTAGCTGCGGCTGGATAGAATCAGGGGGTGTTTGGTTCCGCTATGAGCTCCTAAATCTAGTCCCATTTAATCTCATTTAGTTACTTTTTATCTAAAACAGTGACTCAATGATACTAAAAGGACTTTAGTCTCCTCTAATAACTCTGGAGTGACTAAATAGTACTGAACCATTTAGGATGGACTAAATTTAACAGCTGCAATCAAGCCTTAGTCCGGAAGCGGTCGGTCGACGTCGCTGTAAAACATGCATGCGGACGTGCGCCGATCCGGGCAGCAGGATTCGATGGCTCCATCTTGCCTGCCTGCTTCATTTGAGGGCGTGGTTTGGTTGCTGACTCTGACTGCCGGCAACCGCACGGCGCGATGCCTTTTTCCGACGGTGGTAGTTGGAGCAGATCAAATGTGTCCCTGCATGCATTACTCAGATCACCCCTGTTAGGATCGACGTGTGTACCTCTGTGACCGTAGGATCGGGTAAGTTCCTCGCCTTTCTCTGTTGCAGCGCATCAGCAGTGTTGACGCCGATGCCGTCGGTGTGGAAGGCGTCCAGCGCCGCGGAGACGATCACCAGTGGCCCGGTGTAGATCCAGTGGCGCTGTGGTGACCCTGCATAGGTGCGATGGCGGTGGTTGGGGCACATCCCGTCGCTAGCAGCACGGTCTTTAGATCGGTTTAGGGTTACTGTAGGTGGGAGTGGCGGCTCCGTTGAACCTCGTCGTACGAGCCCCGATCCCCACCTTCTCTATTTGTATGTGCTGTGCGACAGGGGCCCATCAACCAGTTAGGGTTGGGCTCCCCCGATCAGGGAGCAGAGGCAAGGATCCAATAGACCGTTGGTGGAGATCAACTAACAGCCCCGTTTTTTTGTCATCATGCGGCATCGTCAGACCAACGCCACGCTGCTTAGAATATCCCGACACGCATGGCTGATGGCTCTTGCCAAAGCTGGAGCCTGGAGCTGATGATACTCTTCTTTACGAATCTTATTAATAATCCACTCTACGTAGCTAGCTCTACGCATGCACTGCAAGTCTGCAACTAGGTAGCTAGCTGGTTTCTCATTAGCACAGATCGATTAATTCAGTTATCAGTTCCTGTGGATCTGGACGACTGAATCATTCAGCTGAGTGCTCTCTGACAGGACAATGCAACGCCTGATAATCTGCATTGCATTGCAGCGTCAGTTTAGTAGCATTGTTTCGGTGCGCAACAAATTGGTTCGTCTGCAAATGACGAAAGTGCTCCGAATAATTGGGCAGCCCTTTATTAAACTTTTCAAAAGAGATCAATACTATATATATTCTTTACGACTTTGCAAAGGTTTAGTTGAATTTTAAGTACGCAGTGACGACGCGCGGTGCTGGGCTATGTGCAGGTAAACCACTCGCCACGCACACGGTGTGGCAGCCACATGCTCACATCAGGATTGGGAAAATCCGGTTAGCTGCTATGCTAGGCGCTACTACAGGCTAAATACCAAATTAAAAGCTAGACCCAACCTAATCTCCAACAGTCACCCGTAAAATCAAAAGAAATCACCCCTTGTCTGCCATGCATATGCTAAGCTATACTATATACGAGCCTGAGATTCAGAAGGATCTATAGCGCAGCAGGGGGAGGAGGAGGTGACGTTTAATAAACAGCAGGAAAGCGATGCTCGTCTGACGAACTCGCAATCGGGTTCCATAGATTTTTCTTTGTCTTGGTTGTTCGGATGGTGACACAAGTGAACCACTGTTGGCTGACGGCTGCTGCTCTGCTCCTGATTGTAGCAGCAGGTCAGCACGTACTGCATCGCAGCTGTAACGTATGGCCCAGAAGATAGATGGGCCTTGGCCCAGATCCGTCGTGGGCCACAGGATTAAACGGAGTGGGTGCACAACAGAGGAGAGGAAAATTGCTCGAAGGAGATGAAAAACCGACAAGGCCCGTCCGTTCCATGCACACGAGCAAAATGGTTGACAAACGGAGACAAAATATCTTGACAAAACAGGTTTTTATTTATTTTTGTTTAAGAAGAGATGAAGGTTTTTTTTAAAAAAAATTGTTGGACCTTTTATTATTCATCCGACCCAACAAAATCACTGGTCACCAAGTCCTCCAGCATGGGAGGAACCCCTATAACAGCCACTTGGGAGATTACAACCGAGAGCCGCTAAAGAATGAGCGACCTTGTTACAATCACATTTACAAACCGAAACAAGGCATGTGGAAAGTTCAGCACTAATAATATGTTTGATCTCCGTGACTATGCCACCGATAGACGCCAACCTGTAATCATCAGTTTTGATCGCATCCTTTACTAGCGATGCATCCACCTCCAAGCTGAGCCTTGTGATTCCTAGCCTGACAGCCGCCCGCCAGACACCCCTTCAGTTCAGCGTGAATGGCGTTCAGGAGATAATCTTCATGGCCAGCTCTTGAGCAGATGACACGGCCTTGGCTATCCCGAATGACAAAGCCCCACCCATCATCCTTGCACGAGTCATCGAAAGCTCCATCAGTATTCAATTTCAGCTCTCCTTCTGCCAGTCTGCGCCACCGAGATTTCTGACGAGAATCCGACAACGGCGAGCTTGCGGGCTTCAGTGCTGCATCAGCCTGGAAGGCTGCGATGTATGCCAGTTCAGCTATTGTCCTTCTTCTTCCTTCTTCCCTCCAACGATTTCTCTCACCCCACCAGAGATATAGCAGCATGATCACAGTTGCATGTTCATTGCTTTTCAATTTGAGAACAGCTTCGACCATTTCTCTAGCAGTCTGGGCATCAGACAAAGTGCATCTTACTGTCTCTAAATTCAGCTCGCGCCAAACCTTCTTCACCTCTTTACATTTCAACAAATGGTGGCCTCAAAATAAGGTTCCGGCCTCTCTAGCAAGGTAGTTTCCAATCCAAAGCATGCATCCAAATTAAGTTCTGATTGTCGTCGTGTATCTTATCTTATAAAATCA